GGAAAGATGGAGGAAGTCATTTAAGTAGAATTTGCAAGAAAAGTAAAATTTGCTATAAGGGTGATTTATAGCAGGTAGGAGTGGTGAGGAATCCGTGTGGTGCGCCTCTGGAGACCCTCGGGTAAGGCTGGGGCCAGGACCTGGAGAAGGACACTTGAGGGTATCAGTTCAGAGAGCCTCAGGTCTGGAATACTTTGCTGTGAGTTTGGACATGACCCTGTGGACAAAGGGAAGGCTTGAAGTCTTTGAGGAGGAAAAGCTTGATCCACGTTGAGCTTTCAGGAGCTGGTTACAGCAGCCACAGGGAGGCCTTAGTTCAGAGGCTGTGGCAGCTTGTGGACAAGGAGTGAAAGAGAAACCAGGGCCTAGGAAGGGGGTCCTCCAGACTTATCAGCTTCCTGGAAGAAACCATTGCTTAATATATTTAGTCCAATGGCTATAGTGTTGTCTGAGCACCCAATAGTCCCTGTTAAAGCTGCTTAGGAAGGTATCAAGGACATTCTATATGGACAGAGCCTAAAATGCCCACCTATAAACAGAACACAGAGAGGATGGTGTCAGTGAAACTTCTGAGATTGGGTTGGGGGGGGGGCAGCAGAGAAAAAACAAAGCTTTCCAACTTGTACAGACCCCACCAACTTAGCCAGGAAATGAGTCACTGCTCCTAAGATACAGCTTGCATACAATGGTGAGTTTCTCTTCATCTTCCTGCTGGGCTCTGTCTGCACTGCACACAACACTGCCACATCTTAAATAAGACAGCTGCAGCTTAACACTGCACCCTACAAGGACAGCTCTCCACGCAGTCTCCAAACTTCCGTGTTCCCCGCCAGTAGGAAACCATCTAAGAACACAAGAGTCTGAGTAGACTCTCAATATTATGTGCACATTTATACAATTAGAGAGTGACTATTAGCCTGCATACTGTATTATGCACTGTAAGTTTATTTCATTTTTAAAAATTAACCAGGAAAAAAAAACTTCTGATTTTTTTTCTTGTAGTCAAAGCAATGAATGGCCTTTCCTTTCAGAAATATAAGAATAGCTGCATTTACCCACAGGGTAAGGGAAAGGGGGAGTCTCTGGGGGAAAGACTGGGCTGGACTGGTCCCCACCTCTTTGTCCTGTGAAGACTCTCTCAGGGATGCACCCAACTTCACTGTGGACATGCCCTAGAAAGCAGGGTGTAGGAGATACTATTTTCTGCTGCAAATTCCCCAGCCCAGACACACGTAAACATGATAAAGGTCTCAACTCTTTCAGTTCTCTACTCATTGCCATCTTTTCTTCATTCCCGATGGCCTCTGCTGTAAGATTTCTGTGGATAACTTGATGAATTCAGCCACCACGGGTAACGACTGCCTAGTTCCACCGTTTCATCAGGAGCATGAAAATGCTGATTTTCTAATTCTTCATTCTTTTTGCATTTATTAGCTGTGATTTCTCCATGATTAAAATCTTTCTCTCATCAGCCATTTGATTATCTTCAAAAAATATTTTGTGTTAAGCAAGATCAAAGCTGGATTCTTGCCCTTTATTTTTCAGAGTAATAAGTTGGTGTCCTGGCAACTTGCAAAGGTGACCCACTAGATCTTGTGGTTTCTCTTGTTTGCCTTATTCTGGAATCTTTACATCCTTCCCCTTGCTTGTATACTGAAAATCTTGGGTCCTACACTATAACAGTTTCAAATAATATAAATATTTCACACTATAAAGATGCTTTAAAGTCACTTGAAGCATTTTCTTTGTGCATGGAGTTAGCACCAACCCAACAAGATATTCATCTTTTAAAACCTGTTTTCAATTTTTAGTGCATTTTTTTCTTTTTTTTTTTAAATTGTGGTAAAAGATATATAGTATTAAATTTACCATCTCTACCATTTTTAAGTGTAAAGGTTAGCAGTGTTATATATAGTCACATTGTTAGGCAACTCATCTCCAGAAATCTTCCATCCTGGGACACTGAAACTCGAAATACCCATTAAACACTAATTCCCCCTGCCCTGTCGCTCACCCCTTGGCAACCAATTTTCTGTTTCTGTCTCTGTGATTTTTACTATTTTAGATATTTCATAAGCAGAATCATACAGTATGTGTCCTTTGTGACCAGCTTATTTTGCTTAGCATAATATCCTAGCGGTTCATCTGTTTTGTAACATGTGACAGGATTTCCTTTTTTGTATGGTACACACACCACCACACTTCCTTTATTCTTTATATTTGGGCTGCTTCCACCTCTTGGCTTCTGTGGACAATACTGCAATGACTGCAGGTATGCAAATACATATCTCCTGCAGACCCTACCTTGAATTCTCTGGGGCATTTAATTCCTTTTAAATTATACAAAACATTTACAAAGGTACTTTAAGAGACATTTAGCTTTTCCTGCAACCCTGCACGCCCCTCCTCCAATGTTAATCACTTTCACTAGTTTATTTATCCTTCCGTTGTTGTTTCCTTTCGGACTATAAGTGCATTTGCATATACTCTACACAAAAGGAAGCAGCTCTACCCCCTTCTGCACCTTGCTTTTTATTTACTTAATACAACTGAGATGTGCCCCTCCTTGAGTAGAGACATTCACCATCACCTTTTATAGCTACATAATACTTCACTATGTCAGTGGACCACGCTACTCACTCATTCTCCTATGACGACACCTGACTTGTTTCTAGAATTTTCCTATCACAGACACTACCACAATGAATGCCCTTGTGCACATGCCGTTTCTTATTTTTGCCCACTTATCTTTGGGATCGATAGATTCCTAGATGTGAGTTTCCTCAGTTGAAGGGAAAATGCACAAGCAGTTCTGACAGATCTTGAGAAATACCCCCCTGCAGGGGTAGCTCCAGGTTGCATTCTAACCCCCAAGCTGGAAGATGACTGGTTTCTCACAGAACTTTCGCATTTTTGCCAGCCTGTCGATGGGACATGGGATGGCATCTGGGTGCAGTTTTAAAACACACTTCTCTTATTGTGAGAGAGGTTAACATCTTTCCACATGTTTAGAGTAATACATTTTTTACCTTTTAATTATTAATAGCTTTTTCCTAGTTTTCTATTAATTACAGAACTTTTTCTTCTCAATGTTTAGAAACTGTTTATATATGTTAGTCATGTTACCCTCTGTGATATAATTCAATTATGTTATTGCTGGTGGTTGTTCTGCCATGTAGGGTTTTTTTTTTCCTAAAGGCAGTCAAGTATATCAATTTTCCCTGATTTCTACTGAATTCTGAGTCAGAAAAATTATTCCCCTCTCCAGGTTAATAGAAATTAATCCATGTTTTTGTCTTTGGTTACCTTTTAAGTAGTGAATTTCAGTCAGTCAACCAATACCCGCTGGAATCCTCCATCTATGGAGGCAAAAATAGGCTTGCAGGACTCTTAGTTCCAAATCATAAAAGAGACCTCTGTATTTTCAGGGTCTCCTTCTCTCCTCCCTGTAGATAGGGAGAGATCATCCCTTGGAGGGCACACACCCACCCTATCATTTAGGCAGTTTTGGCCCTTGTGGACACAGTTAACATTTCACTTGACATAGCCCACAGGTCACTTCTTACATTATTTTATGCCTCTTTATCCAAGTCCCTCAAAGTCAGATGGCAAAGTCAAACCAGTGGCTCACTGCAATCATGTCACACCCTGCTGACAGCCATCTGTCACCTAGTGTGGCAAAAATTAGTTTGCCCCCTGAACTGTGCCCCAGGGACAGCTTGCAATAGTAGGATGACATAGTGCCAAGAAAAATAATGTTTATGATGCATGTAGTGTACCCACAGATCTCAGCTAAAAAGAACATTTAAATGTGAGTCAACTTTTTAAATTATTCCCCTCATTAGCTATAACCATTCTCATTCAATTTTCCCTTCTCAATCCTAACACTTAAGGATTAGTCCATTGTGTTTCCTGTTATTACATTTGGTGAGCCTGAGAAAGGGTTCCCCTCGGCTGCCTGCCTACCAGGGGGAGAGGCAGCTGCAGGGCAAAGGCAGGGCAGGGGTCCCTGGGATCCTGACTCAAAAAAGCAAACAGGTTCACATCTCAGAAGTGCGTCCTAGAATGGAAATCTGTGGATTAACATTATTTTGGAAAATGGGAATTCTCTACTCTGAGCACCCACGTACCTGTTTAACTGACAAACTTTCATTTACAGAATAAGACTTTGCCTTGTCCCTAAGTTCTGCTGACGTAAATAATATATATATATATATTTTTTTTTGGGGGGGGGGCAAAAACACTGTCAAATTTAGTATTTGGATTTGCAGTCCTCAGGTCATTAGAAATGAAGCCAGTGGCAGGTGAACCAATAGCTGCAAGAAGAAATGTGAATGTGAGAAAATGAGGCTACAGAAACAGAGAAAGTCTCAGAACTGAGCAGCGAGGGGCAGTCAGCTCACCCTGGTGTGGTGTGGTGCGCAGCTCTCACTGCATCTCAGGGGTAATCACTGCCACTGACAACCACTCACGTCAGCAAGAAAAATAAAATTTCACCCTGGGCCCAAGATTTAAGAAGTCCATATAGTACAAAACTGAGTTGAGAATAGTTCCATTTTAGAAAGGCCAAGTCTTTTCTTTAAAAAGTTTGATGTTTAAATAATGAAGGTTTAACTATTTGGAAATTGGACCCACATGGAAGACCCCATTCCTCATTAATTATGATGTGAATCCTGAACAGCTTTTGTGTGGCATGAAATGTGTTTAGCATCTGCCAATTTAAAGTTGATGCAAAGTTCTTTCCCCAAATGGTTTCTAATGATGTTTCATATTGAATATTTTCCCCAGAACATTTCTAAGGCTTTTCGCAAAATGCTTACATGGCCTTTCAATTCCAATTTAAAAAAATGTAGTTATTTCTGAGGCAAAGGTTCAATGGCATGTACTTCTACAGCTAAAGGCCCTGAGAATCATAACCCCCAAATAGATGCTGCCTAATTAATTTTCCCATCGATCACTGGTGGCATTCTGGAAATTAGAGGTAAGACATGAATACTTACGGAACATGGTATAAAACTGCTGGGGGTTCAGATTCCATTTTCCCCAGGGGGTCTTGTGGCCTTTAGACTGGGCATAATTAGCATGATTGAACTCCGGTTCAGTGCCAAACGAATCCAGGACTCGGAGCATGCACCTGAAAGAACAAAGCCATGTGTGTGAAAAGACATCCTTGACTCCAAATTCCAAAAGGTACAAACTCCATTCCTTGCTCCAGGCACTACCCCAAAAGGACAAATACTTTCAATGGTAGTCTGGGCAAGCAATGAGGGGCTTCAGAACAGCTCGTGTATTAAACAACTACAGGTGCAACTTTAGAGCCTGGACTGCCTGCCTGCCTAATCACAAAGAATCACTAAAATACTAGCACAATAAAAAGTGCTACGAAAATTAGAACTAGGGACTGTCATGTTCATTGCTCCACACCCAACACCCAAGCTAGGGTCAAGCATATGGTAGGTGCCTAATCAACAGCAGAGGCAGCAAAGAGCTATCATCTTTAGAGGTCTTGTCTACTTAAAGCCTAGGGCATGCATTATCTCTTTCCATTATCATTCAATATTCTCACCAATTAACTAGACCATTTGGTGGATTTTAGGTAACAGGTAATGGTGATTTTTATATATCAGATAGTAATAGAACTTTATTGCTTTCTCCTAGAGCAGTTAGAGAATCTTATATGTACTGTAAAAATTTTTAAAGATCATCAATTAAGGTCAAGAGTGGTGGCTCATGCCTGTAATCCTCGCACACTCTGGGAGGCAAAGGACGGTGGATTGCTTGAGCTCATGAGTTCGAGAGGTGGATTCTTGAGCTCTTCAAGTTCTCAGAGGGAGCAAGTGTGAGACATACAATGTTCACCTATTTTTAAGAGATGGGGTCAAGAGCAAGACCCCATCTCTAAAAATAGCTGAGTATTGTGGCAGCACCTGTAGTCCCAGCTACTTGGGAGGCTGAGGCAAAAGGATCGCTTGAGCCCAAAAGCTTGAGTTTGAGGTTACTGGGAGCTATGATGCCAAAGTACTCGACCAAAGGTGACAAAGTGAGACTCTATCTCAAGAAAAAAAAAATCAATTTAATTACTTTTTAAAGAAGTTTAAAGCACAGTATATTTTCTTTTTTACTTTTTTTTAAATCAACATAATTTAAGCATGCTGTGGAAGTTTAACCATAGGTCCAAATATGCCATGAGATAAAAAAGTGTTGAAAAACACTATCTCAAAGCCTGTAGAAATACATGTAAAGTTTTTGTTTGGCTATTCCAAAGCCTTAGAACAGAGCAAAAATTTTCTACTAGCTATTTATTTATTTTTTGTATAGCCTATGAGCTAAGAATTATTTTTAACATTCTTAAATGGTAAATAAGAATACTTTATGACATGTGCAAATTATATGAAACTCAGACTTTCACATTTAAAAATAAAATTTTATTTGAATGTAGCCACATCCTGCTGTTTACCAACTGTCTCTGGCTGCTTTCAAGCTGTAACAGTTCAGTGCAACTGAGACACAGAGCCTGGACTATTTACTGGCTGGTCCTTTGAAGACAAAGCCTGCCAGCCACTGTTTCAGAGTGCACAAAGAACAATCAATCAGAAAAAAAGACTCAAAACTGGAACAAAGTTTACTGATTTTACTTACATTCATTTCAACACTGATGCTTAAAAGATCAATACAAATTTAACTTGCAGATGGCCAATAAAAACAGCCTTATTTTCTCTTAGGATCTTACTCAATTTTTTATTTTTCCCTATCAGGAAGTTCCTTAAAACGGTTTTTTTTTTTTTTTTTTTTTGAGACAGAGTCTCACTCTGTTGCCCTGGCTAGAGTGCATGGCATCATCAGCCTGGCTCACAGCAACCTCAGACTCTTGAGCTCAGGCAATCCTCCTTCCTCAGCCTCCTGAGTAGCTGGGACTATAGGTACCCGCCACAATGCCCAGTTAATTTTTCTATTTTTATTCAAGACAGGGTCTGGCTTTTACTGAGGCTGGTCTTGAACTCCTCAGCTCTAGTGATCCTCCCTGAGTGCCTGGATAACAGTGTGAGACACCATCTGGCTTCATTCTTTCGACTTCTATTTCAATTTCAATGTGTGATTCAGGAAAAAGAAAAATCTAGACACCAGACTGGATTTTCCAGGAAGTACACTCATAAACTCTTATTTTCATGTGTTTATTTTTCATATTAGAGATTGCCATAATTTGTCTTGACAAGGAGGAAGACGAAAGAAGGCAGGAAGGCCACAACCAGAAGTGAAACACAAGCTGACTACAGGAAGGACTTTCTTTCTTTCTTTCTTTTTAGAGACAAGAGTCTCATTTTCTCATCCTCAGTAGAGTACCGTGGCGTCACAGCTCACAGCAACCTCCAGCTCACAGGCTTAGGTGATTCTCTTGCCTCAGCCTCCCAAATAGCTGGGACTATAGGCACCCACCACAACACCTGGCTGTTTTTTTGTTGTACTGGCTGGGACCGGGTTTGAACCCACAGTATATGGGGCCAGCACCCTACTCACTAAGCCACAGGGCTGCCCAGGAAGGACTTTCTTATCTGGGATTCTTGTGTGGCCCTTACAGGACACTATTATTGCGTGGCAATGTCTCCAACAACAGGTCATCAGACTGGCAGCCAACAGGTGGACAGAAGTAGGAGTCCACAGTCCAGAGAGAAGCAAGCTAGGTCAATGCTTACTTCCCTTGCTTTCTGAATACTTTGGAATAGTCTTTTCCTTTTCTTAATAAAGCATTTTCATTGCTTAAATTATATTTTGCCCCTTTAAAATAAGATGCATCTCACTTGCCCAGTGATATAAAGGATTGTTGGCTTTTTTTAGTTGCTTAATTTGACTTCTCTATAGATTCTAATTATCAAGCTTTTGTCCAACTGATAATATGCAAATATCTTTTCCCATGCTGATGGTTGTCTCTTTGCTTTGGTTTTCTCCTTAGCTGTACGGAAGGTACTTAGTTTAATTAAGTCCATTTGTTTATTTTTGTTGTTGCAATTGCCACAGGAGTCTTCTTCTTAAGTCTTTCCCTAGGCCGATACCTTCAAGTATTTTTCCCACACTTTCAAGGATTTTTTTACTGTTTCATGCCTTATATTCTGATATGTTATCCATCCTGAATCAACTTTAGTGAGTTTCCCTGAGATATCACCTAACCCCAGTGAGAATGGCCAATATCACATAATCTCATAACTGCAGATGCTGGCATGGATGTAGAGAGAAGGGAAAACTTTTACATTGCTGGTGGGACTGCAAACCAATACACCCTTTTTGGAAGGAAGTATGGAGAATCCTCAAAGAACTCAAACTAGAGCTCACATTTGATCCTGCAATCCCATTACTGGGCACCTACCCAGAAGAAAAAAATCATTTTCTCATAAGGACATTTACACTAGAATGTTTATCGCAGCTCAATTTACAATCACCAAAATGTGGAAACAGCCTAAATGCCCACCAACAACCTGTGGTATATGTATACCATAGAATGGATTAACAAGCTGTGCTATATGTATACCATAGAATACTACTCAGTCATTGAAAAAGATGGAGACTTAACATTCTTTGTATTAACCTGGAGATAGAACACATTTTTCTTAGTAAAGCATCACAAGAATGGAGAAGCATGAATTGAATGTGCTCAATTCTGATAGGAGGACAATTGATGACCTAGTACATAGTGAAGGGTGGGAGAATAGGGGAGCAGAGAAGAGTAAGGGGGGGAGGTCATGGTGTGTGACACATGTCTTGGGGGCGGGACACAATTATAAGAGTGACTTTACCTAACACGTAAGCAGTATAACCTGGTCGTTTGCACCCTCAGTGATTCTCCAACCAAAAAAAAAAAAAAATGGAAAATAAGATGCAAAAGGAATTGGTTGGAGCCCGCCAATCGTTCTCTGGGAAAGCTGGCAGTGTTCAGCTGGCAGGGACCGTGGTGGCAGCTCTGCAAGAAGGTTACTGTGAGAGGAGAGAATCAACACTGACTAGTGGGTTAGTGGGTCCCAGCTCAGCTCCCACCAGAGAACCAGAGCTGGGAGTCAGCAGCACCACTCTGTGACTCAAAGATTACAGCTCTGGTGTGGGCATAGCAGGTGGGAACAGGGCACTCTGGCCAGAAGCTGCCACTTCTCTCACTCATTTGCAATTGACTCTATCAGTCTAATAATTGACCCTTGGTATCTTCAAGGGATTGGTTCTAGGAACCATTGTGGATACCACAATCCATGGATGTTCAAGTCCCTTATATGAAATGGTGATGTGTTTGCCTGTAACTGTTGTGGAGAAAGTTATACTCTACTGCTTTTTATTTATACTATTTTTAATTGTTTCTTCTTCAGAGAACAGGTGGTGTTTTCTCCCCATTCCTGAGATACATTATCCTAGGATAATGTTCTCCAGGTCCATCCAAGTTGCTGTGAAAGACATTCTTTCAATATTTTTAATGCCTGAGTAGGTATTAAAAATTCAATTCAGGGTATGTGTTTTGGAGTGCACACACACCATTTTCTTTATCCATTCATAAATTAGGCACTTAGGTTGATTCCATATCTTTGCAATTGTAAATTGTGCTGCGATAAACATTTACCTGTCTTGTTGAAAATCTTTGCATCTTTGTCCTAAGGGATATTGGTCTGTAGTTTTCTGTTGCATCCTTTTCTGGTTTGGTACCAAGATGATACTGGCTTCACAGAAGGAGTTAGGAAGAAGTGCCTCCTCCTTGATGTTAGTAATTTCTGTAGGATTGGTGCCAGTACTTTGTAGGTCTCGTGAAATTTGGCTGAGAATCTTGGGAAATTTTTTATTACTGCCCCCAAACTCAGCCTTGTTGTTGGTCTGTTTAGGATTTCTATTTCTTCCTGATTCAGGCTTGGGAAGTTGTACATTTTTAGGCCTTTATCATTTCCTCTAGGTTTTCAAGTCTGTGTGCATATAGATTTTCATAGCACTTATAGATATTTTGTATTTCTATGATATCAGTTATAATATTTCCTTTTTCATTTCTGATTGAGCTTATTTGAGTCCTTTATTTCTGGTTAATCTGGTTAGTGGTGATGACTACATTTTTAAGCTGGAGTTTCTTTTTCATTTGAATAATTAAAACAAACTGATAAGTAAAAAATTGCTTGGTGGGGGCCTAACTGCTGAAAGGGAGGACTTTTGTCCAGTGCCTAGATGTAAGGTAGGTAACACTGGGTTCCTTGTGACAAAGGACTGGACTGTTTGGGCTGTCTCTCAGAAACTCAAAATTCTACTTCATTTTGCTTGAGGCTTTGACTTGGGCTTTGAATGTTTATTTTCTAGCACATCTAGGTTAGATTTATAAACCAGAGGAAAGAGACTGGTCAATGACATGGAAGTTTAACATTATAGCTTTCCTTCTCCAGTCACCTTCCACATCTGTGTGCTATGGAATTGTGCCACTAATATTTATGTCATCTCTTTAATGTCTTCTGTGTCTGGAGTATCAGGAGCAGATTAATGACTTGAAAAGATATTGCCCAGATGCCCAAAGCAGCTGGCCTGCTTAATAGGGTCTGCAGCAGCAATGCCAATTGACTCCAGGAACATTCTTCGCTCTCATCCTGTGAAAGGGATGCTCACCAGCTCTTCATCAGGCAATATTTCTAATGGTGTTTGATGAACAACATGGCATGTCTCAGACTATTTTCATCTTTCTTGTATGTCTTCAATGTTCAACAAAGACCTCATAGGAAGCAAAACAGGTATGAGTTTTGCCATACTCAGTAGAACACTACTTGCACGTAGGTATTTAAAAAAATGTTCAGTTGAATTTCCTCCATCCCCATGTAAATTAGACGGAACTTATAAATATTTTTCTAAGATCAACAGGTCTCAAAGGTTTACTCCTAAATGATCAGATGATAACACTACATTCCATGAAACACAGATCATTAACCAAGATGAATAAAGAACCCTGACAACTTCTAATTTTTAAAGGGACAGGAAATTGGCAAGATATTTTCCAGAGGATCTCATTGGCCTTTTGATGGCATCTTAGCTTCCTTACACCACAAAGACTGTAGGGCTAAAGCACTTACAGACTTTCTCCCTGCTAATGCTACCAAGGTGGTCGATTTATCAAAGAAAGGCAGATAAACCCCCTCCTGAGATGGTGTCTTTACATCTAACAAGAATTAAATGCTAATCAACAGCAACCATTTTAATAACAAAATTGACCTTTTTAATTAATCTAAACACTACCAATTAGACTATTTTTTCACCCAAATAACCCTCCTTATTGGTAAAGAAATGAGTGGAGGGCAGCCTGTGCTGCAGTAGTTTCTTTTGCACATTTATCAGATGTTTGCCATTCACAAAAGGTCAGGAAACGGCAGCTCTATTTTTGTGAAGATTAAGAAAAAAACCCAAACAGGAATAACTTGATGCAAAAGCTAGACTGCAATCCTAGCCCACACCAAGTTTTTAATTTTGCTTTTTTAATATTCATGTACACTATTAAATTTTTTAAAAGGGCCTTTAAATTTATTCACCTTAAAAATTTTCTTTTTAAAGGAAACTTTTGAAGACCACAAATAAAAGCCAGTATCAGCTGCAATAAATTCTAGATAACCAGCAAAAGCATACAACCCTTCTTAAAAAGTATTATTAAATTCAAAATAGATGCTTTTGCTTGCTAAAGGTTGAGACTCACAGCTACTCTCAATGTACACACCCCTATCATGAAATTAATTTATGATTAATAACAGCCTAAGAATACAGGGAGTGGGGAGAGAAAGGGGAGGGGGAAATGGGTGGAGGAAGGGGGATTGGAGGGATCACTTCTGGGTTTATCTTACAAGGGTACAAGTGAATCTTTCTAAGAGTAGAATATGAACGTTTTAACACAATAACTAAGAAAATGACATGAAGGCTATGTTAACCAGTTTGATGGAAATGTTTCAAATTGTATGTGAAAACACCACACTGTACCCCAGAATTGCATTAATGTACATAGTTACCATTCAATAAAAAAAAGATAAAAAAGAAAATTCATGTAAGTATTAAAAGAACTGTGCTCGCTTCAGCAGCACATATACTAAAATTGGAATGATACAGAGAAGATTAGCATGGCCCCTGTGCAAGGATGACATGCAAATTCATCATGGAGAAGAACCAATATGTTTATGGTTCCTCTTTTAATGGTACACATGAATCTTTCTAAATGAAGAATATTAATGTCTTAACACAATAACTAAGAAAATGACATGAAGGCCACTTTGATGAAAATATTTCAAATTGTATATAAAAATAACACACTGTACCCCATGACAGTATCAGTGTATGCAGTTATGATCTAATAAAAAATAAATAAATATCCCCACAACAAAAAATAAAAATAAAGAACTATAGGAAATACAGTAGCATCAAACTGAACTCTTTCTTGAAAAGGCTGAAATCAAAAAATTAATAAATCTTATTATACAAGTCAATGTTCTTTAGTGCCATACTTGAGAACTATGTAAAATTACTTTCAAAATTAAATTGCAGTCCCAAATCCACACCCCAGAAAACACTGGGCCATCCTACTCACTAATGAAGGCTGCACAGAATACACACACACTGTAGCCACACCAATCACAGGCTCTTCTTAAGTGCAAGACCCCAGTATTCAGACAACATATTCCCAGATTTCCCTCCCAAGAGTGGTGAGAATACTGATGAGGGAAAAGGTAAGAGCAATGAATCATCCTCTCAAACCTACAGAACTCAAGAAATGACACTGTCCATATTTTGTCAAAATTGTTATTTGATTAAACACATGAGATGGTGTAGGCGTGCTGGGAGAGGAATGCTAAGTATTAGGGAAGATAAAAAGGAGGTTGGACACTCATTTTCTATTCCTAAGAAATCAATGAAAATAATGAATAGCCTAGCAAGCAGAAAATCATGGAGAAGAATCGGAATTTCAATTAGAGATGACACACTCCATACAGCTCAAAAGATACTATTTGATAAGCTTTTTCTATCTGCAACCAAGCAACTGTACAGAAACAAAAACAAAGTGTAAGGACATAAGAAAGGACAGCGCATAGCACTTACTGGTAATGAACCCACGACGGTCCAAGAGTTTTCTTGAATTGAGCAAGTCCCACAATATCAATATAAATGAGCTCAACGATCCTGTCTCCTACAGTTGGGCAGCCAGATCGGTTTCCTACAACCTTTTTCATGATTCTAGAGAAAGGACAGGAGGGAGGGGAAAGAGAAGAAATCCTTTAGGTCAAGGTAATAAACTCGATATCTTTGACAAGCAAATATCACGCGCCCCCCCCCCCAAATCCTTATTAGAGATGATAGCATGGCCCTTCCAAATCTGCTACCTGTACCAATTGTTCCCATTCATTAAAGCCAACCAAGGGCCCTGATTCTGACACTTGCACAAGCAAACGGTGGCATATAAACACAACCTTCGAAATCAAGAAGATTTGGGTCTGAGTCCCTCTCCACTCTGTAGCAGCTATGAGACTTTAGACAAATTACTTAAACTTCTCTGAATTGTTCTTTGCACATCCTCCAGCAATGAAGGATCGGATATGAAGATGATGATACCAACTTCTCAGGGATTCTTCAGGTAGTCCAATGAGCTATTGAATAAAGATGGCTAATGTAGACCAGATACAGAATGACTAGATATTCTGGCCCCTGGGCTTGATCTTATACCCTTGCTGACCCTTTTTTCCCTAATTTTTTTTACCCTTTAGCCACTACAGTACTTTTTATATTCTCTTGTACTGTTCCCTGACTTTTTTCTCTTATCTAAAACTTTTCCTAATTCAGCTGTATTACAGAGTACTGCACCCTGGTTCTCTTCTCCAGCACCTTTTCCCCCATCCACAGATCCACCCAGACATACAAAGGCATCCTTGCACCCAGTGACACGGACTTGACTGGCACACCAGCTTCACATGTAGGGACGACAGACTGCTAACCACACTGCATTCACTCAGGCCTCAGTCACCACTGGTGCTTCTTATCCCAACCCCACTCACACCCTTTATCAAATTTCATAATATCATACTTTCAAACATCAAATATCAAATTTCAAACATCATACTTCCGAGGACAAGAGTCATGACAGGACTCTGCCCTACAGCCCTGTTAAGCCACCAAGTCAGCTACTCTTGCTCTACTCCTCCAGATTTCTGAAAGATCAAGGTTCTGCCTAACCAATTTCCTTCCAAGAGGTAAATACTTTCATCTTTGTATGCCACATGTCATCCACCCCAACTATTTCACTCTGCCATTGTAGAATGAAGGCAGCCTTAGACGATATGTAAACAACGGGCACAGGTACATTCCCATGAAACTTGATTTACAAAAACAGGCCCAGGGCTGAAGCCATGGTTTGCTGACTCCTGGTCCGACCTACATGCAGTGATTCCCAAACGTGTTTATACCCTGATAATACTTGGGAGTCATCACAAAATCTTTATGGTTGCCTACCTCCTACCCACAAAGGCTATGATTTAATTATCCTGGGATTATGATATGTGCTTTTGGGATTTTAAAAGATCCCAAAACTTTTTAAATAAAGTGAAAAGATGCCCAGATTGTTTTAATGTTCAGGTCTATGAGGAGACTGCTTCTCTGTTGCCTCTAAAATTACCTTCTATAATAAGACACCTCTCGCCCTGAGCCCCAGTGTGCAGGAAGACCACCATAAGAAGTCCTCCTTTAACACTGTCAGGTTCTCAGAAACTGGAACCTCAAGAGAAATGACATATAGTCAGTCCTTGAGGAATGTCATCTCTTGCAACAACGTTTCATTTCAATGTTGATGGAAAAAAATCAGTTTCATCCTATGTTGCTTCACTTAACATCCCCGTTTCCAAGAACCCACCAATGACCTGAAGTGAGGGCTGACTGAACAGACCTTCTTCACACCAACTGAGTCTCTGCCAGATAAATCCCCACAATGCCTTTCCTGACCTCCCCAGCCAAGCCCTGGTACTTCCCTTTGTTCACCTTCCCACTCATTCATTCCCTTGTTCATTCAATAGTTGCAGGAGCACCCACTATGTACTCAGCATACCTAAGGGCTAAATTCCCAGTGGCGAACTATTTTCAGGTTTCTGCGTGTGTTTACATTCTGTGCTTACATTCTAGCATCTACATCTCAATCAGCATGCACAGAAGTATAATTAACATAATTATTGCAATATTAGTTGTAATTATCAAGAGTGTCAGTTTTTTGAACACACACTGGTCACCTCAGTAGTTCCCACATCAAAACACAGCCCACAAGAAAGCACTGAGTGACTGCCAAGTGTGGACATGCAGCCACTTCAGAGGTCATATGTCCAGTGGGTTTTAAAGCAAGCAGGAGGCATGAAAGGGACAGATGTGGAGACAAAGGGTTCAGAAGACCTGAGGTTCATCTAGCATAGAAAAGAGTAAGTACCATGGTGAAGGTCATGGGTTTAAGATCAGATGGAGACAGGCCTAAATCCTGGCTCTCCTACATGCTACCCCTGAAACCCTGAACAACTTATTTTTGGCTTAAACCTCAGTTTCCTCATTTTAAAATGAGGAGAACAATAGCAGCTACTTCCCTATGCTAAGGACTAAGTAAAACATGTAAGAGCTGAGTAATACCTGGTATATAGTAAGAAATCAACAAAGGTTAGCTGTTAGTAGTCATTATCAGTATTATGGTTGTCATAATTGTTGATACTATCATAATTGAAGCCTTTATTAAAGCATCTGGCATATGGAAATCATTAACCAATGGCAGCTCATATTATCTTACTGATCTAATTGCTTTCATTTCAACACATTGCCACCAGCCAAGTGGGGACCTCAGTCCTAATATTTGGACCTCTCTGGGTGTCAGTGTCTTAGACGATCAAGTAGGAGCAGCATAGAACATATATTTACACTCTTCCCATCTCTAGAATGTTCCTTCAAGTTATTTCTTCTGGATGAAATTGGCACATTGCAACACGACAACTTGACTATTGGGTAGAAAGTCTCCATGGGCAGTTATCCAAAAAGAGCAAAGGGGGTCAAAGCTTAGCCAGCTGTGCCAATCTAAAAGGGATTAAGAGAGGGCCAGCGCTAGATGCAAATTTCAGTGAAAGAGAAAACCCAGGTAGAGTCGGAGTTGAAAGTTGGCTAACTGAAAAAAGGATTGGGTCAGGGCTTTCAGGAAACTCAGTCTATCCAAATTAAATTCTAAACAGGAACCTTCTGCTCTGTTTTAAGATTTGGAGAGTTTAAAGGGGTATGGTATGAATTTCAGCAAGAAAGGGAATTAGGAAAGTCAATAATGTTTTCTGCTGCAGATGTTGGAAGCACCTGTAATAGCAAAGAATAAGCTCCTTAGTTTGAATTTTCTGGCATTCATTTATGAAGCCTCTGGAGCCTGCAGCTACAATGAAAACATATTATCCTTTTCACAGTGTATGTATTTAGCTCCTGAAAATAATCTTCTTATCTCCTGTTTAGTGAATTATCACTTTCATTTTCCTCCACAAAAAATTACACACTAATAGAGGGCTTTAAGAGTTTACAATTTCTTTTTTTGTATTCTGATTTTAAAATTGAAAAGTAATCTCCTTACTCCTTGAGCTCAGCCAGTGAAGCTGAAATCCTAATGTCATGGCCCAGTAAGTACAGAGATGTAATTAAATCACTCCACTGAACTAATTCACCGAGAGGGCCACCACTGAAAGCTGTCTCTGCAATCTTAAATCCAGATTCCTTGGTCAGGAGTCCCAGGTGAACGAGGACCTGGAAAACAAAGCACAGACATATGCTGATCCACAGCAAATCAAGTACAAACATCATAGTAATGCACTAGCCGAGAATCAACCAACCACGGAGCCAGGCTTACACAGCCGAACACAGTCTCAACGTGGGGACGCCATTTTTCTAGAAGACAGAAAGAAGAAAATCTTTCATTGTTGTATAGAGAAATAAAATCACTATGGTCCTTGGTCTGGCTATGAACATGAGGTATGGATAATCCTACTTCTAAAAAGCAGAGTTTATTTGTAGAATCAGAATTTTAAAAACATAAGCCAGACCAATTTACAAAAGTCTTTTAACAATACTAGGTTTTTATCCACAGCTGGAATATTTTTAACCCTTTCCCATGGAGTGTTTTGAACACATAGAAATACAAACATGACAATATAGTCAATGTCACTGTATTTATCATGTAGCTTCAACAATTAATCCATAAAAAAATCTCATTTAATCTATACCTCTCACTTTCTCCCAATCTCTCTAGAGCAATGGTTCTCAACCTTTTTAATGCCATGACCCTCTAATACACGTTGTGGTGTCTTTCAACCATAAAATTATTTTTGTTGCTACTTCATAATTGTAATTTTGCTACTATTATGAATCGTAATGTAAATATCTTATATGCAAGGATCTATTTAGGTGACCACTGTGAAAGGGTCGCTCGACCCCAAAAGGGTCACAACCCACAGGTTGAGAACTACTGCTGTAGATTAACTTGAAGCAAATTCTGGATGATATATCTTTTCATCTATAAATATTTCAGTATGTCTCACTAAAAGAAACAAACCTTCCTTTAAAAAATATAAGCCTAACATCATTATCCCTAAGATACTAATTCCTTAATGTTATCTTATAACCAGTTAGTATGTACCCTTCCTCAACTGTTGTTTTTATTTTTATTTTTTAGGTGCAGTAGTGTGATTAAAGGGTCAGTAGGCATATATTATAATTACCTCATATATCTACTGGCCTCTTTGGACCTATGTAGATCCCCACCAGCCTATTTTGGGGGAAGGTATACTATAATTCATTTATGAAAGAAATAAGATTTTATTTCCAACAGAGTTTTTCACACTCTTGATTTTACTGATTGTAATACCAAGGTATTTTATGACTCATCTGTCCCTTCATTATGGCACATTAGTAATTAGCTCTACAGACAGGATCAAACTCAGATTTGATTCTTTTTTTTTTTTTCTTTTTAGCAGTACTACTAGGTGGTGCTGTGTACCTTCTATGGGTGAGAATAGTGTCCAGGTGTCTTTGTTCTAGGATGTTAGCAACCACTGATGATCCCTAACTACAACCATTACTCCATTAATGGTAGAATTATATCATTCATTTTTTTCATGTATCAGCTGGAATATAAAGAGTAACTACCCCTCATCAATTGTTGAGTCACCCTGAGGTGACCCTAAGGCAGGCACAAAAGGACGCTGGCAAACAGTTGATTCTTTCTATTTATCAGGTTTCAGAGTAACAAATTTGTTCTTTAGCATATTCTAATGATAATCCATGAGGTTTGTTTTTAAGTTTATCATTATAAAATCATGGATGTAAGCATATTTTTTGTGTTGCAATAAATTTTGGCTATTACCCTTACTGATTATCAAATTGTCCCACCCTGGCCAGATACAATCCTAGTGGTCATGGATGACTTTTCTGTCCATGGGCAAATGTACTGGAAAAGATGTGATGTTCTAGGCTCCACATGGTCACCTCCTGTCTCAGAAGGCATTTTTCCAAGAACGTCTTATACCACCTAGTGGAAATTTCATTAGAGAACAAAGTCTGGGGCTTAAGGGATTCCAGTTTATTACTATCTATAGGCCTTTTCAGTGGCCCTAGTGAGGGAATTTATTTTTCCTCGCAGATAAAACAAATCCTGAGTTCATACTGGTACTTCTAATTCAAGCTCAGGATTGTAGTATTTTTTATGTAACACTACCAATCTTACACCTGTCAGTTCCTCTGTTCCACACTGTAAATCCCTCTTCTCCAAGACACTAACATAAGTACTCATTTGCTTTATCCTAATATTCACAGTGGATTCAGAATGAGTATTATCGATACCACCACATATGACATGATTAAAAACTGTTTTAAGATTTTTTGAGTTCTTTGTGTCCTTGGTGATATCCCATCAGAAAGTTCAACTTACTATGTTGCAAAGTCACTAAGAATAGTTCTTTTCTGTGTGCTTATCATCAAAACTGGATGGATATGTAGTCAGATTGTTGTATTTTCCTCCTGACTTTTAAGTGTGGCTTTTTTTTATAATTAAATTTTGTTTAAAAGTTATGTAAAATGATTCCAGTGGTAAACCTACAATGTCAGATATATTCAGGGAAGTCTAGTTTCCATACCTGTTGCCGCCATGATAATCCTTTCTCCAATGCAATCTTATTTTTTCTTTTTTCTTTTTTTTAGACAGAGCCTCAAGCTATCCCCTTGGGTAGAGTGCCATGGCATCACAGCTCATAGCAACCTCCAACTCCTGGGCTCAAGTGAGTCTCCTGCCTCAGCCTCCCAAGTAGCTGGGACTACAGGCGCCCACCACAACGCCCGGCCGTTTTTTTTTGGTTGCAGGCATCATTGTTGTTTGGCGGGCCCGGGCTGGGGATTCGAACCCGCCACCTTAGGTGTATGTAGCTGGCACCTTAGCCGCTTGAGCCACAGGCGCCGAGCCAATCTTATTTTTTCTTATGGTGGTAAAACATACCTAATATAAAATAGCACTGCGACATGTACAGTTCAGTGGCACTAAGTACCTTCATCTTGTGCAATCATCGCCATCTATCACCTTTTAACTTTATGGTGTGTTCCCATTTGTAGTACGAAGCATACATATATTTAACACATCTATGTATATATGTATCTATATGTAGAAACAGATAAGTTATAAATTTTGTCTTTTAAGAAAAATAATGTACACTATGTTGCATCTGACATTTTTTATACCTTTCAATATATTCTGAAACTCCATAGGATTATGCAGACATTTTTCTTTCTTTCTACAGAAAATGTCTGTAAGCATTTTCCCACCTGCAGCACCTTGCCACCTGCTCTTCCTTATACTGCTATTTGGTGCCAAATGTTTGATCTTGTGTTACAATCTCAAGGGATCTAAGCAAAACTCATCTATCAAACTGTGAGTTAGTCTTTTAAGTGTATTTATAGTTTCTTTTTCGAATATATCAAATTAGTTTGATTAGGAATGCCAAACTCATGTTTAAGTTCTGTTTAGATACAGGAAATTAGAACAGTTATTTTAAAGTTGTTCCATCTAATCTATAGTAAATAGGGTACAAGATCTTCTAAACCTAGGAGTATCCCTTTCCAAGCATCCCCTTATAAACTTGAAATGCACTGTCTCAAATTTAATAAAATGTCCTAAAATATAAGCAGAAACACTAAGTCAACAGAGCACAATGATATTCACTAGCTGCCCAGACCCTAATGTCAAAAATATAAAATTGTCACCATGATGTAACAGGAAGCTCTCAAAGGCTGGATTTGGGTTAAAAAAAAAACGGAGGCAAGTTTTCCCATACTCTGAGACAGTCAGTTCAAAGAAAAAAATCTCACCGGCAGATATTCTGGTTGGCTTCACCCAACAAACTTATGCCAATTCTTACTAAGTAAAAGCATCGTAATTGGGGAAGGAAAAACCCAAAAACAGCTGTACGAGAGACTGAGCAGATTCACCCTGAGGGAATATCATTCCACACATGACATTTCTCTTAGTCTTGTTTCCAAGCAATATCAAATTTTAAAAGAAAACTGGCATCTAAGTGAACTGAATTAATAAGAAACTCACTTTCTTCTGCTTTCTCTTTTCAAGATTCTGCTTTTCTGCCAGGGACTTGATTGCTTGGATCCACGCATCAGCCATTCGCCGGATCCGCAGTCTCATCCACCGGAATTCTTCATGCTTTTTCATCATACTGTAGAGAATATTAAAATCCGTACGAATTTCCGCCTAGCAACAGAAATTTAATAAAATGAATAAAAGATAAAACGTCAGAGAGCATAATGGCTTTCAGGATGTGACATTTGAAAACTTGAAAGGGACAGTCAATTAAATCGAGGGCTTCAGAAGTGGGTCTCATCTACGACACAGCTTTGACTTTAGGTCTCAGGACTGCAAATTGAAGCAAAGGCCCAGACAGCTGATCTGTTGTAAGGGACATCATTAAAAAATTAGAAATTGAGAAAAGTGGTAGGGTGCAAAAAGACCTAAGCTAGGTTAAAATGCAGTTTGTACAATGAGAATGCTTGATGTACCTTGAAATTCTCTGCACCCAAGTTTACTGCGCCATTCGGATCCACTGCAGAACAGCAGGCTCCTGAGAGAACTAGAGTCATTTCTTAACAGACTACCCGATGTTGTGTAGGTTGCCAAAGAGCCTCTTTTTGTCCACAGAATAAGGAAATAAATGCTCATTTTCTAGTTTTATCTCAGTTCAAAAAAAAAAATCATTATTTTTTAAGAAATTTCAAAGCCAGGAATACAATTTTTCTACCATAACTGAATACAATTTAAATTTCAGACCAGAATAATTTAAAAGCCAGGAAGAATATTTTTCCTTTATAATAGAACTGGATACAACCAATGATTAGAATAACAGAGAAACATGATAATAACCAGTGTTTATTTCACAGAACATCTCTAATAAGCGGAAACCATCTTGCACCAGTCATCATAGCTCCTTCTAAACACCTATTTCCCTTTCTGGACTCAATTTTCCAAGATTCCCAGGTAGCAAAGGGTAGCCCTCGGGCCAGTCCTCCCCACCCATAGCCCTGCCACTTCATTTACATGCCATCTATGACCTTTATGGTGACGGAACTGAGTCCTTTCAATAGAGGCCATACAGCCTGCAAAGATGAAAATACTTACTGTCTGGACTCTTACTGGGAAAGTTTGATGAACCCTGGTCTGAAGAATAAAAACTTAAGCCTTTCCCGTCTCATCTTCCACCCAATCATCCCATGCCCCAGGGCCACGGCTGACTGAACCAGGCACGCTTTTTTTCCTCAAGTCACCAAGCCTTCATTTTCCCAAGGTTACTTCGACCTTGTTTGAACTCACTTATTTTAAATTCAATTCCAAAGTAATCTTCTCTATGCAATCTACCCTGACCCCCGCAGGCTGAGACTGTCTCTTCCTCATTAATTCCCAGGGTCCTTGTGATGGGCCTGGTCATTATTTACAACCCTCACCCTCATCAGCTCATTCCCAGCCTCCACATCTCACACCAGATCTGATTCCTATCATTTTGGTTAGAAACCCTCGGAGAATTGCTTGATAAATATGATACTGGCTGACTGACTTGTTCACCTAAACTTCCATAAGACAAGTGACAAATTCTTCTATTGTAGAAAACAGCTGGCATTTCTGGAAGATACCACGTATATCACTTGGCATCTGATTTAAATACACAAATTTAGGAAGAGTTTTCCAAAAATCACTTACCAATGAATTATGATCAGCTTCTTCATAGGGATTTTTTGCTCTCCAAGGTAAATGAGGACACCAGTTTTCAACCTGAAAAACATAAATCAGTGACGCTAAGTATGCTGGTTCATCTATAAATTAAGTTATATATGTACAAAGCACTGAGAACAGTTCCTGGCATACAACAAGCACTGTATTAATGCAGGTTTTTATTACTAGCCAAATTTCCCTGCTTTGAGCCAGCAATCCAGACCCGAGAGCCCTCTCAGATGTAACAATAGCCAGGGAAGGTCAGAAGGAACACATGATCATACTTCTGCCCTTCAGAGTACTTTTCAGGGATTAATTCCTTAACCATTTAACCCTCACACCTCTACACTAGAGGGAAAGGTAGGCTGATGGCAGAAAGGTAAAAGACTTGAACACTGCCACTGGGGAATGAGAAATAAAGGTGTCTCGGTGACTATTTGGCAAATGGACAGGAATGATTCTATGGCATATCTGGAAAGGAAATTGGATGGCATCTGAGCCACAGAGCACAATCATTTACCCCAGAATTAGGAATAAGCTAGTGATCATTTTAGACTAATTGGTCAAGACTTCTCTCATTGTCTGACTATTCACATTATGCTAGCTCAGTAAATAAGGTAGTAAAACCTATTGGAGAAAGATGAAAGGAAAAGGTAAAAAAATACCCCTTGGTGATCTTATGAGTGCTATTTTGGAAGATAGATTGTTTCGTCAAAGCACAAGGGTTTAGTGGAATAGAGAAAGAGAAGGGAAAAAAGAACCAGATTTTACAGAAATTATTTCAACAAAGGTTACTAAAGACTGCTAGACAAACTAATCATTTCTACTAAAGAAAAAAATGAAAACTATATTAAGTAATATTGATGTCTGGTCTCTGTCAAACAAGGTATAAAATTTGAAAAAGAACATTATTACCCATTTATTAACATATGTATATAATGAGATTACTAATGATGGCTACTAAACAGGCACTAAAAATAATTTATGAGCAGGTGGATTTATAAAATTTAACAGAGCAGGAAGGTGGGGGCATCTTTGGAGGGGTCACTGAGATGGCAGGGCTGCACGTGGGACCACAGATAGCCTCATGGATCAGCCATCAGAGAAGACAATTTGCCCTCCAGGTCTGGGTGAGTTTTCAAAGGACTATGTCAGCTTCACTAATCTAGACATTACTCCTAATGCAAAGTGATTTTGCTGTGACCAAAAATAATTGGTCTAATGTGCATAAAGCCATCTACCACTGCAAAGGATCCCAAAGCAGCAAGCAGAGGGCAGCAAAGCTTGGGTAGGGCAAAGTTCTTAGACGAGTTCTTAGTCTCTCTTCTTGTGGAGTAAAATTAGACTTCACCATATTTGTGAATGATCTCAGAGACTCAAAAGGACTCCCCATAAGGAAAGCTGGAATGATTTTTCCTCATTAAAAAAAGAAAATGTCATGCCTTGGTGGCCCATGGCCTGATTACTAGGACCTTACAGCAACATAACCATGAAAGGCAATTTCTGGAGCTCCACAATGACAAAAATGAGGGAAAATAGCAGGAAAAAGAACCTTCAAGTGGATGAAACTTCTGCTGATCTCAGCAATATCAAGCCCATCTGTACCTCGTATTCTTAGGCCAGACTGAATGACTTCAGGCCAATTAAATTTGTGTAAATGGACTCAACAAAACACACTTATAAAGCATATTTCTAACATGAAAGCTTCAAATAGATTGCAGGCTTTCTCATAAGACCTTTAACCCCACCTAACATCCCCCCAAAGGATAAGGATAGGCAAACAGGGCACAGAATTGAAACACACCTCACACTACATAATAACCAAATTTACATGGTCACCCATCAGGATGAAAAATTTCCCTGTGCAGGGCATGAGGAGGAAAGACGTAACAAGAAGAAAACCAACGAAAAGGGCTCGGTGCCTGTAGCACAGTGGTTACGGCGCAAGCCACATGTGCTGAGGGTGGCAGGTTTGAACCCACCCCAGGTCAGCAAAACAATGACAACTGCAACAACAAAAAATAAATAGCCAGGCATTGTGGCGGGCGCCTGTAGCCTCAGCTACTTGGGAGGCGAAGGCAAGAGAATCGCTTAGGCCCAAGAGTTTGAGGTCACTGTACCGAGGGCGACATAGTGAGACTCTGTCTCCAAAAAAAAAAGAAAGACAGAAAATCAACTAAAAGGAGAGAGTTTTGTGAGACCACATAGTGACAAAGGAAGAGTTTATTCCCTCCTCATGTCTCTGTCACATGAAGCATCTTCTAAGATTCACTCTGATGAGAACATAGTCTTACGTGATTTTCTAAAATATGACTTCTGTACAGAATCCTCAAGAATATAATTCCTTTGGAAACTGATCATTTATCTGACATTTTCTTACTCTAAATCAGCAGCTACTACTTTGCAAGACTCTGAGGGCATCCCCGCCAGTATGGAAAACAGAGTCAGTCCAATTTAGCTCTTCATGAGGAATTTCACCTTTCAACATGCACTTGTGATAGTGAAAAAATCAATTATGAACATCTTAACGCAGAACGGGAGGTAAGTTTTTAGGTTGTTTTTATACGGAGTGATAGGATAACCGGTTAACAGAATGATTAAATTATACATAAGCCAATTACTCCATGGGGAGAGGAGAAAAACAAAACAAAGCATTTCTTTCTTTCTAAACCTCAGAGGATTACCAGGACTGGAAGAAAGCCAGCACTGGCAATGACTCCAAGTACTGAAACAAACAGCTCTCAAATGAGCAACATTTTCCTAAATAAGAGCACCATTAATAACATTCGGGGGAAAATCTTGCTCAAGGTTAATAACTCAACCTCCTAATCCCTAAATTTTGTTTTCTGTTTGATCTGTCTGGGGCCCTTTAACAAGCTTAACCCACCAGTTTAGCATCCTCTCCATAAAGCCAGACCCCAGGGAGAGCCCACTACCTCCCCTGAAACAGCTGTTTCAAATTACTCTAGACAGCTCTTCCTCTGGCTCGCAGAATCCTAGTGTCCCCACACCTGCCTGACCTCCTTTCACTCACTGCCTTGGGCACACTCTCCCAACTGTGGCCCCTGGTGCTCTCACCTTGGGATAGGATTTTGTATTTCTCCTTAGACCAGTGGTTCTCAACCTTCCTAATGCCATGACCCTTTAATACATTTCCTCATGTTGTGGTGACCCCCAACCATAAAATTGTTTTTGTTGCTACTTCATAACTGTAATTTTGCTACTGTTGTGAGTTGTAATGTACATATCTAATATGCAGGATGTATTTTGACAACACCTGTGAAGGGTCATTCAACCCTCAAAGGGGTCACAACCCACAGGCTGAGAACCACTGCACTAGACCCTCCTCCCACTGTCTACCCCCATCTTTGCCCAACTCTTACTCCTGGCCAAGCCCTGCATCCAGCCTTCTGCCAGGGAAGGAATTATATATTCTTGAAAGTAGCCCATAACTCACCACAGTCAGTCTAAGAATTGACAACAGTCTGAGCTCATGGCAACAGGCATGCAACAATCGATCCAAGAGCAGAATCCTTACTCTAATAGCCTTCAATTTAAAGGCAAAACTCCTTCAACATGAGCTAATCTCTTTAGTGTGCTAGCGTCAGGCCACAAAATGAAGAGGCAGCAAAAACAGACCAGCTGGGCTAGAACTTCGGGGGCATCAATGGCTCTTTATTTCCATGTAAAAGGCTTTACACATTTGTATCTCCCTGTTCAATTTTCGTGAAGAAACATGAAACATAACTATTTAGTTTTTGACGTCCTTCATGATTAAAATTTCTTTGGACTATAAAGGTTTTGCAGGTTAGTTATTGTTAAGCATTGCTAAGCAATTGTTAATGCATTGTTAAGCATTGTCAACAAAAGCATTCTCTGAGTCCCTGAAAGTATGTCAGACTTATTTTAAGGTCCATAGGATAGACGATTAATTATATTTAAGGAAAAGAAATTACTGGTAGATATATATACAGCTTAAGTTGGAGCTTAAAGGAGGAAAGAGCAAGTAATAAAATTATTGCAAAAACTAGGAAGAGATTCAGCGTAGAAATACATGTATTACAGGTAGGTATAATATAGCAAAACTCCATGGTAATGTTCTGTTCATTTAAAAGAACGATTATTCTGCTCTGGCTGCTTCTGTGATTATTGTCAAGTGTTTTGTTCTAGGGAATCACTGACAAGGATTTCATGCTGTATTTATGGTAAGTGCAATCAAAAATTAAATGGGAAACTGCACCAAAGTGAGGTTATCATGGGATGACGGCATTATGGATGCTTTTGATTTTTTTTTTTTGCTAATCTGCATATTATAATTCTTTTGTGATGAACATTAAGAGAACTTTTAAAGGAGTTACATTATATGTATAAGCATACAACCATTTACTGAAGGCTTAAAACATGTAAGAATCTCTTCTTAATAAAAAGATTACATCATAGCATTTAATCCCCCTGGGTATTAACATGGGCAGTGTACTATCAACATGTTACCATAGTATGAAATCAAGGCTTAGTGGGCATTTGCTGACATAACCACTCTCGTGAGTGGCGGAGCTGGGTGACAACTGAGATCTGTTGTTTCCTTTTAACAGGGAAATGTTAGAGCCAGCTTAAGGCCAAGTTTAGTGAGGGACAAGAGAGCTGTCTGGTAGGGAAAGAGGACTGAATCTGGGGTCAGCCAAAATGGATTCCATGCCCAACTCTGCCGATAACTAAGCATGTAATCTTCAATCACTTGGCCTTCATGTTTCCTCATCTATAAAATGAGAGGGTTAGTTTGGGTGACCCTCTTAATCCATTATCCTGTAAGATTTGAGAGGGAGAATTTGATATCATCCCGTTAGCCTAGTTGGATGATACATCAAATGACTGTAGTTGAGTATACACCCATTCATCTGACACACGATTCTAGCGCGTGCACACATACTAGACTGATGACATCTCAAATGAAGATACTTCTTACATGTCAACCCCTGTCTACTTTACTTTCTAATGTTTCAAAAGGAAATGTAAATGGTAAAGGCCGTCTGCTCATGTGAGTGGTAGGTGGTCCAGCTACCTAGATTTGTCCCCTGCACCAGACGCCTATGTTGGCCCAACTGCTTATTTGAATGACTGCATATGAGGACTGAGTGGGGAAGACGAAGGATAAAAACAAAGGCTGCAACACTACTGGGGGTAAGCCTTTTGCACATATTATCTTGTTTGGTCTCCCCATCATCTTTTGGGAAAGGCTGATTATCACACCAAATGAAGACACTGAGGCACAGACTGGCCACAGCTAAGAACTGAAACATTGGCTGTCCTGCCCCACAGCCCAGGGTGCAGGTGGGGGGTAGCTTAAAACTCGAACACCAAACTTTTGGTTCCTGGAGTCCCATAAGCAGAGCCTATTCTTCAATATTTGAGTATTATTGCTTAAATCTTTCATGTAAAACCCTTTAAAGTGATTTATTATGCTCCTACTGGGTAGCAATACCATAAGGTTAATAAAAATAATAATTCCTGGCTTCTAACTCTTGCCCCTACCATTTGTTCTGTGTAGCAAGAGTAATGATTTTAAAGCCTAAAATCACATTTGACACATACTCAAACCCTGCGATGGCTTCTCACTATACTCAGATTAAAACCTAGAATTAGTACTAAGATTCTACACACTCTAACCTCAACCCTCACACTGTTTGTCTCATTCATTCAGATCCATGTAAATGAACCTCCTTGTAAGTCCAAAAACATGCCAGTAAGTTAGCTGGGCATTGTGGCAGGTGCCTCTCGTCCCAGCTATTCGGGAGGTTGAGGCAGGAGCACCGCTTGAACCCCCGAGTCTGAAGTTGCTGGAGCTAGGCTAATGCCACTACACCTAGCCTAGGAGACAAAGCAAGAACTTGTCTTTTAAAAATGAGTGAATACATAAATTGATAAATAAATTTAGAACTATATTTGCTTTCTTTTTGGGGGGGGAGGGGGGTGCCGGGACCAACGTTCACCAGCTGCCCAGATACCAAAAAATTATGCTTCTGAAATTTCTTGATGTTATTTCCGCATGAAGAGCAGTTGAGTTGCCCCACGTGTGCCACTCATGACAGGAGCCCTTTTTCTCTATTTGCTTTTGATAAATGAAAAAAACGCTAAGCACATTCTTATGTCAGGAGGGTTGCCAGATTTAGACAAAAAAAGAAAAAGGATGGCCAGCTAAATTTTAACCTCAGATAAACAATTTTTTTTAGTATATCTGATACAAGCGTTTGTTACATACTTATTAAAAAAATTCATTGTTTACTTGAAATTCGGATTTCATGGGTTGTCCTGCCCATTACCTAGTAATTCTGCCTCAGACACCTGCCACTACTCTTCTTTCCACCTGAAACACTCTTCCTTGCAGTCAGCTCTTTGCCTCCGTCCTCTACTTCATCCACACTGACCTCAATTCTTCCTGAGACCAGTCACCACGCATGGCAATTACTTTATGCACTGACTTTCTGTGTACCATTTGGTGTCCTCACTGAATATAAGCACCCGTCTGTATGGGTCTTTACTTGATCTCCAGCCCTGAGAACAGCAGCCAGTACATAGTACATATTCAGTCAACATTTGCTGGGTAGTGAATGAAAAACCAAACACATGATTTGAGCACTAAAGATACTCATGATAACAATACTCTTTTTGGCTTTACATGGTGCTGTCCTATTTCCATTTTATTAGAACCTTTCGACAATATTCGGAGATACGAAAGCAGGCTTTATCTTGACCTCAGTGAGAAAAAACCAGATGAAAACTTGGAGGAAAGCTCAAAGCCACACAGGCAAGTTGTGGGATCCAGAGAGGCAACCAGGCTGTATGTGCTTCTGATGACACTGTCCTGCTGCCCCTACCAAGGCAGACTGGAGCTCTGGGAACACCAAGCATGAAACTGACTAGTGCAAGGGAGAGCTAGGGCTGCAGTGAGCCACGAGTCTGCTTAGGACATTAGGGAAGGGACAGAATTTAAGGAGGTGCTGCAGTAAGTTTCAACGCTCCACAAAACTAATGATGACACAGTTTCAGAAATCCATCCACAATTGCTATAGGACAGCGGTTCTCAACCTATGGGTCACAACCCGTTTGTAACAATGAAAATACACTGAGGCATTAGGAAGGTTGAGAAGCACTGCTATAGGACGAGAAAAGTCAATTTCCCCTTCCATGTCAGAGGCCACAATCAAATCCCTGTAGAGTCAACCACATAGATAACGAACAGAGATGCTTCTTACAGCAACTCTCACTGCACACTGGGAAAAACGGTCCTGTTAACCCATACCCACACCCAGGGCACTTTGATGGCCAAAGCCGCCCAGTTTTAGGACACAATCAGGTCCCAGAGATCAAGGATGTCGCTCTTGACTTTAATGTGCAATTTTGCCTGAAGCATAGCTCCAGTGAGTAAAAATGGGCCTAAAAGATGGGCACAAAAGCTACTCCTAATATAACTGGCTCACTCCATTCTAATACGTGGTAGGCTGATCTGATCCCTTATACTCTTAATAGAAATGATATTAGAGAGCTTTACAATAGTCTCCCCTTATCCGTGGCTTTGCTTTCTGCAGTTTCAGTTACCTTGCAATCAGCTGAAGAACAAAACTATTAAGTGGAAAATTCCAGAAATAGTTCTTAAGTTATAAACGGCAGACTATTCTGGGTAGTGTGGTGAAATCTCTGACCATCCTGCCCTGTCCCACCCAGCAGGTGAATCATCCCTTTGTGCAGGGGATCCAAGGACTCGCCCTGCCCATTAGTCCTTAGAGTAGCCTTCCAGGTTATCGGAAAGACACCCAGTGTTTCAGTGCTTATGTTCAGATAACCCTTATTTTACTTAATAATGGCCCCAATGTGCAAGGGCAATGATATTGGCAGTTCAGATACACCAAGGAGAAGCCACATGCCTGTGAAGGAGAGAAAACATTGTGTATGCAAGGCTCAGTATGACTTCAGTTTCTGGCATCCACTGGGGGTCCTGATCCATATCCCCTGTGCGTGAGGGATACTACTGTATATTACATTTGTTAATAAGTGCTCAAATATGCCCTGGCTTCTGTCTCAACTTGAATGTTTTAGCAGATTCTAAAGTTACAGATTTTGCAAGGATAGTTTTTCAAGGTTAGAAAGGTGATGGCTGGGAGAAGTTACCTATTCAGAAAAAAAAAGCTATCCCTATTTCAGAAAATGTTTCAGATAGAATCATTCAATACATACATATGCCAGGCACCACTGTGTGTGAAAACAAAAATCTCTCTGGAGAGGACTTTCGTGCTATTAACCTTGCATCTTGGAAGTCAATGGTCTCCCCGGGGCCTTTATACTTGGTGTTTTGTTTGTTTGTTTGTTTTGAGACAGTCTCACTCTGTTGCCCAGGGTAGAGCACCATGGCATGGAATCATCGCTTACAGTAACCTCACTCTTGGGCTGAAGAGATCCTCTTGCCTCAACCTCCAGAGTAGCTAGGGGTATATATACACCCTCTACAACGTCTGGCTAGTTTTTCTATTTTTAGCGGAGCCGGGGGTCTCCCTCTGCTTGGGCTGGTCTCAAACTCCTGGGCTCAAGCAATCTACCTGCCTTAGCCTCCCAGAGTGCTAGGATTACAGGTGTGAGCCACTGTGCCCAGCTTCCACTTTCTCTAAAAACACCTCTGTCTGATGTGTCATCTCCTTCAAACCCCTTCAACCACCACTCCCTCACCTTCTCAGAAGGACCTATCCTGACAGCACTCTGCCTAAAACTGATGTCATCATTTCTCTAGCACTCCCCCCTCTTTCCTGTATGGTATGTAGTACAAGATTTTTTTTTTTAACTTTTTTGATGTTTCTGGCTATCTCTTATCACAACACATAACCCTATGAGGAACGTGGCATCACCATTAAATCTCCAGCACCCAGAAAAATGAACAGCAATGAATGCCCGAGCACCCAGACTTTGGCCCCTCAGCATTATTTTCCACTGAGAGGAACTGGGAATCCTTAGGTAAAGGGCTGTTTCCAGGTCAAGGTCAGGAATTTTATAAAATGAACTGAGAGGATCTGGTCATACCAGAGAGCAAGAGAACTATTAAAAACTAGCAGGTTCATGTCAAAAGGACTCAGCAGGCAGTACCAATAGGTTCTCTAGGTTCTCACTGGCCAATCCAGGGATAATTTGAGAATCACCAAGAAAATAACTGCAATAGATCAAACGTATCAAATATGCTTCAATCAATGACTTCATAATGATAATAAAAATCACAAAGCAGTAGGTCACTAACAGATGATGCTAGGAAACCAACTGGGAAATGAGGAGTTATTTGTCTTCATTAAAATACTCCTAAAGTACTAAAAAGGAACTCCTAAAGAATTAAAGAATCAATGAACCTAGGTGTTGAGCATCAACACCAGCTAACATTACGAAAAGAAGCCGCCAGGCGCTGTGTGCCTCCTGACAGAAGTTACTAATGCCGTCATCCAGGATGTATCTTGAAAATATACCAAGCCTTCCTCTCATCAAGCCTCAGCTCTTCCCATCAATTTACAGGAAATATAAGGGGAAGTGAACTAGGTTAAACAACAAACAACACAGGATGTAATCGTCAAAATTCAAAGTCAGATATCTCCTCTCAGACGAATGTAATTTCTTCAACAAAACACTGCAAGGGAGAAATAAAAGGCAGAAGGGAACTTAAGAGATTTAAGACACATCAATAGCTGCAATTTATGATCCTTCAGTGAAACCCAGTTCAAATAAATAAACGTTATTATGAGACAAACTAGAAATCATCAATACTGATCTGATATTAATAATTACATTAATTTTCAGGTGGGAAATAATAGTAACAATGGATAATTCTTATATTTTTATAAAGTCTCCGTTAAACATGTATATTGAAACATTTATAGATGATACAATATTTGAAATTTGTTTCAAAATAACAAAGCAGAGGGCTGAGAGTATCGATGATATGAGACTGGCTGTGAATTGACAACTGTTGAAATCTGGCTCACGGGTACAGAGGGATTCGTTATGTTCTTCTCTTTTATAGTACATGTTTGAAATTTTCCATATTAAAAAGTATAAAGTACAACAATTTAAAAATTCTCTGGGGCGCATAATAGAAGCGCTTACAAAAGAAATAGGAGGTGACTACACTGAAGCCCCATCTTGCTACATGTATTCTAAGGAACAAAGAGCTATTGGTTCGGAGTCTGGCAAGTCTTGCCTTTTCTCCTCATTTTGCAGGGCAGAGGCCAGAATAAGTCTAAATATAAATAGCACAGTATCTGAAATTCACAGAGAAACAGGAAGCATCACTAAGAAGAACTTCAGAGAGGGGAGAGAATTGAGAGATCAGTGAGGTTGACTGACAAATACCATTCTGTAAGCTCAGGACTATTTCAAAAAAATCTTTTTTCTAAGGATGTCTTAGAATCCAAGTAATAAGCATGACAAATACAAATAGATGAAAAAGATACCAATGTAGGGTGAACACAAAAAGTGAAAAGAACATGGTCATAAATCTCTGCCACCTCCTTTGCTGCCCCAAAATATTATCTTTGTGAAAAGGGAATTTCCTATTTCACATAGCTAAATAGTTAAAAGATGGGTTTTGGTATTCTCAGGCAACTGTCTTAGTGATATTTTTAAAGTACGCCCTGACCCAACCCCAAATGTTATCTTTTTGCATTCAGGTTCTCTGCTGCAATCAAAACAGTCAATTCTTTATCGCTGCCCACTTTGACAAATTAGTCTGTGCAACACCATTTCCAAGTTATCTTTAGCAGCCAACAAAGCTCATAAATCCAAATTGTAGCACTGGTTAGGATTTCATTTCATGCTCGCATTCACAAACATTTAAGCTTTCAACCTTTCCTGTTGGGCATTAATCTTGGCATTAATCAAGGGATTAAGTACGCTGAATTTAAACTCAAGGTTAATAGCATGCTTAGCCAATATTAGTTTTACATATTGCCAAGGGAGAACAGAAAGAGGCAAAGACCTTTATGCCTGTTGTTCATGAAACATAAGAAACAGACTGATGAGTACAGCATGAAAACTGCTTCTTTTGTTCCTTAAAGAGGGAGTCACACACTCTCA